ATAACACACACACACACACACACACACACAGAGAGAGAGAGAGAGAGAGAGAGAGAGAGAGAGAGAGAGAGAGAGAGAAAGAGAGAGAAAGAGAGAGAGAGAGAAAGAGAGAGAGACAACAGACAGAAAGAGAGAAGGCAAAAGAAAAAGAAAACGGGGAAAAAATATGAAATAAAAGTCGACCTCGTCGGAGAATGACATCTTGCCTCTCAGCCAGCGGCCGAGGAAGAACTCGAGGGTCTCGCTGTTCACAAGCGAGGCCGAGTGGGGAAAAAAAAGAGGGAAAAAAATAAAGAAACAAAACTAAATTGAAGAGAGGCAGTTCAGCTTACCAGCAAGGCGACACAGGTGACACACGGTAGTCGGGTAGTGTTGCAGGTGTGGGGAATGGCTTCACGCGAGGCCTGTGTTTATTTCTCTCGCCAGGCAACAATACACGATAAAATCCGTTGAGTTCGGCAAGCTAATGATAAATAACAACGCAAGTTGATGCGTTTGGGGTTGAGAGTTTGTGAGTTTTTTCCAGGCTCTGAATAGCCCAGCAGACGACTCACTGTAGACAGTGGCTGAGTTGCCGTAATAGTACACACAAGTCGAGTTAAAAAGAAGTTTTCGGTTGGATTTTCTCTTCGTTTTTTTGCGAGTGTTACGCAATTTTGTTACTGTTTAATTTTCTGGTCCTGGCGCTACTTGCTGTTGCTGTAAGTAGAGTTCTTTGGATGTAAAGATCAACGCTGCTCATTCGCTTGAAAACTGATCTCCTTGTGTATCACTTTACGGGATCAGTTGTGGTCAGCCAGATTGGAGGCTGGTCTTTGCCAGCCTTAGAAAGGTTGACCATGTCGTATGTCACAGTTCTCCGGCGCCATGAGAAACACTTTCTTTGCTTGCTTACCAATCCTTGGGTAAAAATAAATGTTGGAAATGTTTCCTACAATATATTTTCTACCGTCAACACATAACATACATTTTAATTATAATATTATGAGAATTGATCAACTTTGGGGATATTTTTTCTAGATCAGATGGCGACTTCGTGATAAAGGAAACGGAGTTTATTTATAAAATCATTTCTGTTTTTAGAGAAATTCCAGATACACCGTAAACGTTTAAATAATTTCCAGGTAGTTACAGAGAGATACAACCTGACCCAAACAGTCGAGTAACTATTTTGGTTACCGAAGCAATCGTATTTAATTTGAAGTGTTACTTTATGCTCCAAGAATGGAACATATACAGACACTCCAAGTTGATTCACACTTTAAACTTGGGGTTGAGATCTGAGTTTCCGAGGAGGTAATTTCCTGTGAACAAACCTGAGAAATCTACTCTGCACTTTCTCTGCGAAAACTTTGTGGTAAACACTAGTTCTTGTTGACATCAAAAGTAGAAACAATTATCACTTCCGTGTTTAGACTTTTGTTCAATCCTTGTCGTTGAAGAAGGTGAAAAATCCTCCACAGAATGGGATAATGATTGACCACTCGCCACTTGTGTTTTTTTTCCTTCCTCCTCTTCCTGTTAGAAAAGTCAAGGATTAATCCACTCGCAAATTCCTTCGGTGCGTCTTAGTGTAATCCAGATCACGGAGTAACTATGACAAGTGACAGATTAAAGATTATCTTCGTGTCCGTGAAACGATCTGTAATGAGCAGCAATCGAGAAAAAAAGGAAGGAGGGAAAATTCCTCTAGTAGCTGTCCGGCCCAACAGTTATGATCGCCTATTAAACGCAATAATCAAGCAGTAATTTTTGCCGTCGTGTTGGCTCCTAGTTAGTGGTGCGATTAGCACTGAGGCAGGCAGAATAGATAGATAGGCCAGCCAGCCGCTGCTTTAGCTGTCCGCTGTCTAACCACTCCTTGTCATTACTGTTAATTTCCCTGTAATGCTAGTGCTCCGCGCGCTGGCTCCCTCCTCTTGTCGGACGAGTCGCCTCAGTTTGGCAGGACGTGGTTAGCAAGAAACACACGCCAACTTTGTCCCGGCCCATGTCGGTTTCACAACCCTCCTTGTCACCAAAAAGAGGCGGAGCGATCTCCGCAACGTGCGTAAGCCCCGCCTTAGGTCGATATCGAGGCTTTGTGACATTTCCGCGAGCGCGCTACCCGCTCGGTGATTCGGGATCGATGAAGCGTCATACGGACAAGTGGGTGGGGCTAGCGGGTGTCAGTCGGTGACACAAGCAAGAAACAAGGAGGCCCTGCAATGGACAAGCGACTCTGGCGGAAAGCACTCTCCGCGAGTGGCTTTTGTTGCCCTCGAGGTTCGGCTCGGGCAGTGGGCGACGACGGGTGAGCTTTGACGGACGGACTCGAGAGCGAATCTTGGAACTACCGAGGCTTCGAGTTCTTTGACTCTCTGCACGTCACTTAGAAAGAGGGGAAGAAATAAAAAAAACAAAAAACTTTCGCATTTTTCCCTCCATGCCCGCGCATGTGCGTGGCATAGCACAGGGCTGAGCGCGTATGTGGTTGTAGCTTTTTTGTATGTGTGAACTGCTTTCTGGACGTGCATGTGCGATTGTGAGCGCGGTTTATAACAATAGGAGGAGTATACGTCAGAAGGAGGAAAAAAGAGGAGGTGGGGTGGTTAGGGTGGGGGTGACGTCAAGGGTCACTCTTTTTTCTTTTTTTTCCCTTTATTTTCGGAAAAGGGTTGGGGGGGGGGAGGGTACCCGTATAAATCATGATGTTAGACTAAATTTTATTCAAATAAAAAGACTTGAACTCAGATCTAACTCAAATGGGCTACTCTCAAAGTTAGCTCATCTTTTATCTTATTGGGATTTTTTTTGCCGGGCTCAGGAGCTTTTGGTTTGGGGG